ATATGAACTGCATTCCAGTGAATTAAATATTTAAAAGCTAGGGGATTTACAATTAAGGGAGCCCTACCAAAGACATATTACCTTGAATACAGAATGTTGCTGAGTGCTTTGAAAAGGATGGATGGATTTGGATTTTCCCCCATTATTAGTCAAGTTAAAGATCCTTCACTGACTTCCATTCAGATGAGAATGGTTATAAGGTGAAACTTAATAAAAGATGATTTTTTTTTGAAATTTTTTATTGAATCACCATGAATAATTTTTTATTGAATCACCCAGGGCTGAGATCTCCAAGCCTACTTGGATCAGGGCTGAGCATCCTCCACCCAGATCCCCAGATCCTCCATCTTCCAATAGGCAGGGGTCACACTCACCAACTGCCCCTCCCCTTCCCCCTCGCGCCGTGTAATCCCATCAATGGCCAAGACCTAGAGACTATAAAACCCAGCTCCCGGGTTTTATTGTTTTGGACAATCTTGCTTTGGACAATCTGGTAGACTATCGAATGTAACCTGCTCACATGGCAGAGTCTGGCAAACTTTCCGTGGTTCACCCAATATGCCAAATACCAGTAACAATGATGGGTCTCATTCTCCTAACCCTGAAAGAGACTTGAATGTGGCACTTTTTAGAATCTCAGGGCTAGGATGAAGGAGATGTTACTGGTGCCTGCTCGAGGCAATCGACAAACCATGAATTATGGAGTTATTTATGATTGGGTTAATGAAAGATTCTTGATGTAGAAGGAAATAGTTGCATTTAGGTCTGTCCCCATGTGTTGTAGATATCCCCTATAGCTGGGATCAATGTTCTGCTGGAGTAGACTGATGACATTTGTTTTCCCACTATTGTTGTTGATGTTGTTGTTTTTAATAGGTTGTTTTAATAGATTTTAATGATGTTAATTTTTAAATAATTCATTTGTGCAAGGGGACCCAGGGATATTTCCAGTGATGCTCAGCCTGCTTGGATAAGCCTGGCAGTGCAGTGTTCAGGGCTATCAGTGTTATATGGTACTTGGAGATCTCATGATGCATGAATGGACACAGAACCTCGGGCATACTAGATATGTGCCCTGCCACTTATGCTCTCTCCCTGGTCCCTTGACTATTTTTAAAATAGCCCTTTCTTTAAATTAACCTTTCTGGTGGAGAATCCCACCCCGGCTCTGTAACTAAGGTCTATACATAGTTGTTCTCTTTCTCTGCAATGGGAATCCATGGTAGGGATCTATGTCTGCATCACCCTGTCTATTGCTTTGCTATTTTATTTCCACCAAATAGGTGAGCAGAGAGAAGAATGTTAATTTAATCCATGATAACGACATATTTTACTGGGGAAAATTTGAACAGTGGAAAATATTGGTTTTAACTCATGACTTATATAAAGCACCAGACTTGACTGTTTGGGACCATTGTAGTTCTTACTATGATACAATAAACAAACAAAAAAAATTGGGAAACAATTAAAAGAAAGATACAGAATCCACTCTAGTCTCTCTAAGAATATGTGAGTTCTCCTCTGGAGACCACATACTAATTTTCATGAAATTTCAGTTTTTGAATCTCTGCCATTTGATGAAATGCCTCAATATGCAACCCCCTGGACCTTCTTCAGGTCTGAGAAGATTAAGGTCCTTCCTGATTGATTCTAGGCGCACAGTTGCTCTCATGGGTAAAATAATCCTGTCTAATACGCACAAAAGTCTGCTTTTTTTTTAACAAAGGAGGAAAAATTCCTAAGAGAACTAAGCTATGCCTTGCTGTACTTCCCTTTCTTCTCTTAAACATCTATTCTCATAACCTAAATTGCAAAGCATTTTCCAAAATTTATTGCGTTGCAGAATTTTTTAAAAATGTATTTGATGGCCAAGTTTGCAAATTGGGTCAATTTTCCAGGGCCTTACACTTCCTTTTTTTCCACTCGGGAAGAGGAAAGAGACCTCTGACAGTTGGTGATTGAAATACATGTCTCCTTGGCACATACCTCTTGGCTATCCTCTGTGGTTATCCTGGCCACAGTCCCTTGGCACTCTCTGCTCTGCCAGGGCCAAGGCCTGCCCTTCCTGCTGGTTGCCCTCTGAATTCCACTAACAATCAGGGGGATGACATTGCTGCCTGCAGCCATGGAGCTCTGGCTTTCAATGGCTTCAGGCAATTTTGTGAGACAATTGAAGGGGCATAATTATCCCCATCTCACAGATGAGAAAACTGGAACTCAGGGAAGATAAGTAGTTTACTCAAGGAATCCCACTTAGTTCCATTTGTAGTATTCTATCATAGCTTTCAATCCATTATTATTTTTTAGTCTACACAATATAGGTACAAAGAAAGAAGAGTCAGTCAGGAAAGAAGTCTCCACCAAGCTGTCTCTCTAAGCGGTCCTGAGATCCACCAGGGTTGAGATTATTTCACTTGATGCTCGCTTTTTAAATGCAACAGTGAGCCTTCTGGTCACTGAAAAACTTCTTATTTCATAACTGTAACTATAAATTCACCTACAAAGTGAATACATAAAATGGGAATGATTATGACAGTAATAGTCTATATTACAACAAAAGACTGGAATACAATTTATATTTTGATAACTCAGTTCAGTATTTTTCATAGTGATGAGTCAGAGCCTATTAATTGTGGTCATGAAATTAATGTAATTGATTGCTACAATAATTACAAGAAAAACTGGGTGAGATAAAATAGAACAGAAATGATAATACCAGCACATATGGAGGCAGCCATTGTAATCATTGTTCTCTGGTGCTGTTTGTTGGTATAGCATGTGTACTAAACGACCAAGTTAGTGTATAGTAGATCTGACCTGCTTTTTTCTTGATTTCTCTTTCCACCTTCTTCATCCCTCTCTTTTCCCCTTTCTCCATCTTCCCTCTGTCTGTAGCAGTGACAGAGGATTGAGTCCTGAGCTCATGAGTTCTTTTTTTTTTACAGAGTATGTGGTACCTTTTTTTTAACTTTATTAATTCAATCACTGTGAGATACATCATTACAAAGCTGTTCATGATTGTATTTCAGTCATACAGTCATACCCATCCCTCCACCAGAGTACATTTCCCCAGCACCAATGTCCCCAGGTTCCTTCCCATATCCCCCAGCCCCGACCCTCTGAAGGTTATCAAGAATATCTCTTACTTACTTTCAACCTCAGATCTTGTCCACCATGATCATTCCCATCTATTATTGTCATACTGGTTTCTTCTCTATCTTACCTACCCTCAGCCCCACACACACTCACACTTGTGGGTTCTTGAGTATTGTAAGAAGTCATAGTTTAGGGGGCTGGAGAGATAGCACAGCAAGTAGGGCGTTTGCCTTGCATGCAGCGGACCCGGCTTCAATTCCCAGCATCCCATATGGTTCCCTGAGCACCGCCAGGAGTAACTCTTGAGTGAAGAGCCAGGAGTAACCCCTGTGCATCACGAGGTGTGACCCAAAAAAGCAAAAAAAAAAAAAAAAGAAGTTTATTGTCTAGAGTGACAGTACAGTGGGTAGGATGTTTACCGTGCATGCAGTCAACACAGATATGCTCCCAGGGATCCCATATGGTTCCTTGAGTGCACCAGAAGTGATTTCTAAATACAAAGGTAGGAGTAAGCCCTGAGCACTATGGGGTGTGCTCTTCCCCCCTTCCATAAAAGTTATAGATTACTGGACACTCTAAATAGATAGATCTAGATCCCTCCTCAATGTCTAGTTCTATTATTTTTGCAGTGTATGTATGCTTCCTCCAGTCCCTACACTGTCCACTGATTCCAGTGTACATGACCTGATCTTGTCCCTATGCCCTTCTTTGTCTAGTGGGCACGTTCCAGTCATGTATCTGCAGCTGGAACCCTTGGACCCGTGTGCCATTTCAGGGTTTGCTGATCTGCAATCATTCATTGGACCTTTCCAAGGCTATAGCCCAGTGACTCCCTGCCCCCTTGGCTTTCCTTGATTCTTCAGTCACAACAATATGTGTGTGGGTGAGAGCCTCTGCTGTCCTGCCCTCCCCTAGGTTTTGATGAGGGGACAAAAAAGAGGCTTCCCTCGACCTGGGCTCGCATGTGGAGTCAAAGAAGGAGTTTGAAACGCAATCATGAACAATTTTGTAATGTTCTCCCTCATGGTGATTCAATAAAAATAGAAAAAACAAAACAAAACAGAAAAACAAAGAGAGGGAGTTTCTTAGATGGGGGCTTCCTTTTATCTCTTACTTTTTCCTACCCACACCCCTCCCTCACCCAACTTTTTCTGTTGTCTGCCTGTTTTGATGTCTTACCTCTTTGGTGGACTAGTTTTAATATGACAAGTAAAATTAACTAGATTACCTGGCATCTTCCCTTCACTTCCACTATAACTCCTGTGGATATAGGTGACACACTGAAACATCTGCTACCTTTGCTCTGTTTACAGGTACCATCCTCAATCCCTCCTTCCCCGACCCTTCCTGATGATGTCATTTCCTGTCCCAAGTGTGTGGTGTAGAGATTACTATATGTGGTACAAATGTTAATGCTCCTCCCTTCTAGTTTTAAATTTTATTTATTTATTTATAAAGTAAAGGTAAAGGTCCTCCCATTGATTGTCGATTTGCTCGAGCGGGCCCAGTAACGTCTCCATTGGAGACTTTGTTGTTACTGTGTTTGGCATATCGAATACGTCACGGGGAGCTTGCCAGGCCCTGCAGTGTGGGCGAGATACTCTCGGTAGCTTGCCTGGCTCTCTGAGAGGGACGGAGGAATCGAACTCGGGTCAGCCATGTTGGCTGCTTGTAAGGCGAACGCCCTACCACTGTGCTATCTATTGTTTTAATTTAATTTTTTAAAAGTTGTTCAAGATTTATTACATTCAATATTCCAAAACCAATCCCACTATGCCCCTTACTTTCTCCCTTCATTGAAAAGGACAGTTCACAGCACAATCTTTGTGACAGGGTTTGCTAGTTCTTTCCATGTTTGATAATATACATTGCTTTGTCTCTAAACCACCATATTTCCATTTTAGGTAAAGCCAGTCAAACGTGAAGAAATGAAATCCCCCAGGAAAACTACATTGTGCTTCATGTTTATTGTGATTTATTCTTCCCAAGCTACACTAAATTTGAATTTAGAGTCTATTGTTCATCCTGTGGTGAGTAAACTCATGCCTGCTATATTTTTCTATCACATTTTTCTGATTTCCTAGGAATGTCATAAATGGAAAATGCATTAAAAATTTAATCCTATGGGAAAAGCCACAAATGGCCGGGGAGTGTGTAGTGGATATAAATATATGTTAGTTTATTGGGCTAAAATTGACATACTCTAAAATCTGTTGTAGCATCAAGGGAATAGCTTTGTATCTTCCAGGGAAATAACCCAGGCATCTGTGAAACTGACAATAATTAGAAAGCAGATTTTAATAATTGAGCAGGACATACGCTCTCAAAAGATTCCTTTAACATAAGCACCAAACACACATTTTTAAAAGGTGTTAATTTGTGTGTCACAATTACAGATTTGTGTAGTTTGAAGGGGGCATAAATTATTCCTAGGCACTTTTTATCTAGGGATTTTTGTTGACAGTTATTTAGGTCACTTTCTATTTGAGAAGTTAATGAGTATAGGTGACTATAAAGTAAAATTAGAACTCCCTATTCTTTATGGGTATTATTGTGCTATTACTTCCTTACGTTACTCTGTACACCAGTACAAATCATGGCTGGGGAATTGATGAAACCAGCCCTCTGATGTAACAGCAATAATAATTGTACCTCTTTCCAATGAATGCTATGATAATTTAAGTAGCTAGTATTCATAATATGTCTTAGAACAGTGCTTTTAATATAATAAATAAGTCATCAATGTGTTCTCCTATAAAAGAACTTTTCTATTGGATATTTTTTTTTCTTTTTGGGTCAGACCCGGTGAATGTTCAGGGGTTACTCCTGCCTCTGCACTGAGGAATCATGCCTGGTGGTGCTCAGGGGACCAAATGGGATGCTGGGAATAGAACCCGGGTTGGCCTTGTGCAAGGCAAGCACCCTACCCACTGTGCTATCACTCCAGCCCCTCTACTGAATTTTTTATAAGAATTCTATTACTATTTTATTCACTCTGTAGGCATTATTAGAGCTTTATTGGTCAAATGCCTTTTGTCTTGTTGCATATTTCTTGATTTTAACTCTTTGTCATCTATTATAATTGTTTGGGATTTTTTAAATTTTTTTTCCACACCCAGAGATGCTCAGGGGTTACTCCTGGCTCTGCTCTCAGGAATCACTTCTGGCAGTGCTTGGGGACAATATGATATGCTGAGGATCGAACCTGGGTTCACTGTGTGCAAGGCAAACACCTTTCCTGCTGTACAATCGCTCTGGTCCCTCTCATCTATTATAATTGTTAATCCTGTTTTTGTATTATGAACTGGTCTTATCTTTGTTTTTTATTTATTTTTGACCCTTAACACATTACTCTGCTTTATTAGTTTTCTGTAAACAATATGTATTTGAGAGGTTTTCCCCCTTTTCTAAATCAATCTGACATTAATTACTGAAGAATAGTTTATTCACTCTTAACATCACATTTTATTTATTTATTTATTTTATTTTATTTTTGGCTTTTGGGGTCACACCCAGCCATGCTCAGGGGTTACTCCTGGCTCTTCACTCAGGAATTATTCCTGGCAGTGCTTGGGGGACCATATGGGATGCCGTGGATCGAACCTGGGTCGGCCTTCTGCAAGGCGAACGCCCTACCTGCTGTACTATCATTTCGGCCCCAACATCACATTTTAAATGTTTCCTTTCACTTTCAGAATTTGGTTTTGAAATTTGGTGCCTTTCCTTCTTTTCTGCCTTTTTTTGGTTTGACCTAGGTTTTCTAGGTATTTTCTTTTGCCCTCTGCTGACTTGGGATATGTACATTGTTTTGTCTTCTTGGGAACTCTAGCACTCAGGATGTGCTCTCCTGTGCAGTGTTTGCCCTATCAGAGGAGAGAAACACTGAGCCTTCCTGTGGCTGCCCAGTTAGGCTTGGGATACAGTTACACTAGGAACTAAAGGAGAAAGCTGTGCATGAGTCCATTTCAGCAGCAGGGTTAGAGCTTGGGTTCCTTGGCAGTGATAGCGGTCCCTCCCACTGTGCTAAATTTCCCCTCTCCAAGGTGACCCTAATATAAAATACCTTCTGTACCCCCATCTTCTTGGGGACCAGACCGGTTAGAGGAATTGCTTATGGAATCTGGACTTCCTTTTCCTGGAAATTTTAAGCACGATCCTGAAAGAATTAAGCACGATCCCTCGAGCTCCCTTCCAGATATATATTTCCTCCTCTTCAAGGCAGAGCAGCGCTTTGGGAAAGGACACTGCCATCCTTTCAACTTACACCGTGCTAGCAGACATAGCTTCCTCCAAATGACCTTCCTCCCTTTTTACTCTATTTATTCACTGATTTATTGATGGTGATTGGATCACACCATCTGTGCTCAGGGATCACTCCTGGGAAAACTCAAGGAACTATATATAATCTAGGGCTCAAACTCAGTTCAGTAGCAGCCAAGGCAAATAAGTGACTCACCTACTGTATCGTCTCGCAGGTTTCCTTCACTGTCACTGTCACTGTCCTCCTGTTGTTCATTGATTTTGCTCAAGCGGGCCCAGTAATGTCTCCATTGTGACAATTGTTACTGTGTTTGACATATCGAATACCTCATGGGTAGCTTGCCAGGCTTTGCCGTGTGGGTGAGATACTCTCGGTAGCTTGCCAATCTCTCCGAGAGGGGTGGAGGAATCCAACTTGGGTTGGCCGCTTGCAAGGCAAACGCCCTACCCGCTGTGCTATCACTTCAGCCCACTCCGTTTCCTTATACCATTTTATTTGCAACATGTGGTGATGAATTTTTTTTTACATAGTGATAAGATGCATATAAAACTTACGGACTTGACCTTTTTGTTGTTGTTATTTGAGGGCCATATCCATCAGAGCTTGTCATCTTGATCATTTTAAATCATAAGGTTCACCAATGTTTATAACAATCTTCACATTATAATGCAACCATCTCTGATCTTGCAATGCTTTTTTGTTTTTTACTTTTATTTTTTTCTTTCCAAAATTTTCTTTTGTTAAAGCATCACGAACTACAAGGTGATTCACAGCTGGGTTTTGGTATACAATGTTCAAAAATCGATGCCTATCAAATAACAACCCCTCGCTACCTCCTTTCTGCTTCTGTCATTATGATTTCGGCTTTCCTAAAGGCCACATGTAAGTGGAATCACAAATAGCATTATTTGAAATTTTGTGACTGGCTTATTTCACTTTCTAAAATTGTAACTATGGTGTAATATGCCTCAGAATTTCCTTCCTTTCTTTAGGCTGAATAATGATCCATTGTATGTATAGACCACATTTTCTTCATCTGTTTAATCATCCGTAGACAGTTTGCTTTCGCCCGTTGGCAATTGTGAATAATGTAGCGATGAATGTAGATACATCCTGGTATGAGAATAAGAGGTTTTTGAAGTGTGTGTTGATAAAACTTCTCGGACTTCAATTGGCGAATGGGTCAAAATGGAAAACTTCTTTAAAATGCCAATTTTAATTCAGGAAGTCGAGTGAGGAGGGGACCCTTTGTCCTAGCTTCAGCCAGCACATGAGTCTGAACAGTCAGTCTATAGATTTTCAATTTGGACAACATTTGAGTCTGAAGTGCTTCTGTTCTGACCCTCGCTAGCTTTAGAAATGTAGTCATAAATCTTCGTCTCCCTGACATTTCCCTCTCATCCTCATATCTTCCTAGAATATTGCAGTGAAGATTATCCTTACCTCTATGCTTTAGCATTCTAACTAGCACAGAACAAGCACTTAAGATTTTATAGTTGTGTTGATTAGCATAAAACACAAGTTCATGTTTTATTCATTTATTTATTGATTGATTGCTTTTTGGGTCACACCTGGCAATGCACAGGGGTTACTTCTGGCTCTGCACTCAGAAATTACTCCTGGTGGTGCTCAGGGGACCATATGGGATGCTGGGAATCAAACCCGGGTGCGCTGCATGCAAGGCAAACGCCCTACCTGCTGAGCTATCGCTCTAGCCCCAAGTTCATGTTTTAGAACCAATAAGCCTGTGATAGTGTACTCAGTGCTATCAAATTCTCACAGATCAGTGCTAAAAAAAATGATCTAAATTGGAAGAAAAGACATCAAATTCCAGGTAAGAAAAAGGGTATTGACCAGCAGGCCTTTAGTGAGGACAGGTGAGATTTAACAACAGTTGAATCTTTCAGGGCTACTTTATTTGCCATTAAGTCCTAGGATTTTCTTTTCTACACATAAAATGTCACATTTCATTTCTGGATATCTACAGCCACTTTTTTTTTTGCGGGGGTCAGGGGTCACACCTGGTGATGGTCAAGACTTATTGCTGGTCCTGCACTTAAGAATTACTCCTGGAAGTTACAGCCACTTCTGATGATCTCAACCTCCTCCCACCCCAACACACACACACACACACACACACACACGCACACACACACATGCATGCACACGTACGTGTATGCACACACACACACACCCCACCAACACCACCACCACCATGACCACCACCACCATATTTGTATGAAATCATCATGCCCGATAGGTGGGGCATTTCCTGGAATTGGTGACCTTGTGTCTTCCGGTTGAAGCTTATCCGTCAGGAAATTCCTTTGAAGGGAGTTGGGCATTGTCTCTCAGACCCCCATCTGGGGACCCCTACATGGACTTCAGAGAGAGAGACGTGAATGGAGGCTCTTCTTTCTGGTCTGAGCTACTCAGCTGAGCATAGGAAGTCAGGCAGGATCTCTGCTCCAGCGTTGCTGCTTTTTGGCAAACCAAACATAGGAGTAAAGATGTATTGGGGTCACATGAGAACTCAGGAAGATAAGGTTGTTCCCAGAGAGCTCCAGACCCTCTGGACACACTTGCGCACACACACCACTGTCAGAGACAGAACTGGCATCTGATACATCTTGGCACAGGACAAGGAGACTACTTTTATCAGCAAGTAGAAGAGCCTGTGAGTGAATGAATGATTGTTCCCAACAGAAATGGAGGAGGGTGAGTTGTCAGTGTAATGCCAGCATTTGGCTTTTTGGAACCTGAGCAACC